GCTGTGTGAGTTCCCCGACATACCGGGGACACATCTTTATGAATAAAAGACATCAAAAAGTGCATTTTGCATGATAGGTCCCCTTTAATAATAATACAATAAAATAAAGAACATTTTAATATACTTAATAAAACAAGAAATCATGCATAAAACAATTATAATTTAAAAGAAAAGAGAGAAATTAATGAAAGATTTGCTATATTGGAAGACTTTGTTTAATAGTGTTTTTTTATGTGTGTGTGTGTGTGTGTGTGTGTGTGTGTGTGTGTGTGTGTGTGTGTGTGTGTGTGTGTGTGTGTGTGTGTGTGTGTGTGTGTGTGTCAGGAGGGTGCTGGAGATGTGCTGCTTCATGGAGAAGATGCTGGCCAGCATGCTCGCAGACTTTGAGATGAAGGTGGAGAAAGATGTTTTGGAGCCGCTGAACAAGCTCAGCGAGGTGAGAGACTGAACACATTGATATTTAATGCATTAAGTGTCAACAGTTCAACACTAACAAAAGTGTTATTTATTGCACTGCTCTGGCGTTGTATAGTCTGTGTTTTTGTTCCGTATGTTTATCACCAGTCACGGCTTGTTGTTCATTTCTGTCCCACTATATTGTCTGAATACATTTATGGACAACATTTCTGTAGCTGACTGGAAAATAAATAGCAAAACATAGAATGGATATAATGTTTTTGTACCATTCCTTTAACTGAATGTATTGTGTTTCCTTCCAGGATGATTTACCGGAGATTCTCAAGAACAAGAAGCAGTTTGCAAAGCTCACTACAGACTGGAACAGCGCCAGAACCAAGTGAGCCTCATTCACTGATACCTGTTACAATCAATCCAACATCGAACACACATTTTAACAAGTGTGTGTGTGTGTGTGTGTGTGTGTGTGTGTGTGTGTGTGTGTGTGTGTGTGTGTGTGTGTGTGTGTGTGTGTGTGTGTGTGTGTGTGTGTCTGTCTGTGTGTCTGTCTGTCTGTCTGTCTGTCTGTCTGTCTGTCTGTCTGTCTGTCTGTCTGTCTGTCTGTCTGTGTGTGTGTGTGTGTGTGTGTGTGGTGTCAGGAGCCAGGCCAGCACGGGTCCTCAGGCAAAGCAGGACGGGCTGAGGGAGGAAGTGGAAGAAGCCTGGAGGAGGTTAGAGAGCATCAAGGTATCTGCATTTCTTTTACACACATACCTGGGAAAATGTCTATTATTAAAGGTCCCAGCCCGAAACACACACACACACCCGTAGCCTGGCTGGGAGTTTGTGTGTGTGCCCGGGCTGAGTTCTGCGGTGTCTCGC